AATTTTGGCTAAACTAGCCAATAAAGACAAAAACAGCTAAAATAGCCAATAAGTCAAAATGTCACATCCTACACATCAATCAATCACCTTCTCTCACAACCATCTATTCAACTATAAAAAAATTCACAAATCATATCAAACACTACTTTTTTTTCATCTCATAAAATAGCCAAAAAGCCAACTAAAATAGCCAAGTTCCCAAACGAGACCTTAATTTGAGACTTGACCTCAAACAAGTTCATAAAGTAAAACCTTTTTAGAAATTAAGTCTATATATAATCTCGTGGTATATCTAAACTCATCCAATCTCACATGGAAAAAATATATAAATAAAAATAGATAAATCCCATGATATCATTGTCCAGTGGAAAATGAAGCAACGATAAGGGCATTTATGTCATTTTAGAAAGCTCAATGCCAGTAGAAAATTGTGTGTTCTAGGAAGCACAGACACCTAGCCAGAAGCAACATACAGGTGTCCGACACGTGTCGGACACGCGGTGGACACGTGTCGAACACTCTACCAAACGTGTCTTGTTTTCTTTTCTTTTTTTGAATTTTTCCAACCAGACACGTTTTTGACACGCAAAGACACGTTCGGACACTTTGTAAGAAGATAAAGCTTGAAAAATAGAGAGGTGGATCGAAGCCCTAACCTGTTGGAGTTGGAGTTGGAGTTGGAGTTGGAGATGAGAGAGAAAGAGATCGAAGCCCTAACCCGTTGGAGCCCTAACTTGTTCTTCGTTCTTCGTTCTGTTCTTCTTTTCTTCGATTCGTTTCTTTTGTTCTTCATTCTTCCTCTATCTTCTTCGTTTCTCTTCCTCTGCCGCCTTCGTATTTCTTCTTCGGTCTATGTCTTCGTTTTCGTCCTCTCTCTACTTCGTTCTCTCTCTCTCTCTCTCTTCTTTGTTTTCTTTTCCTTACCAAGTCAAGTAGTGGAATCAATGTTGATTTTTTTTAATATATATAAAATAGGTTTGTAGGGCCTACTAAGATTTGTGTCACCATTCCACGAAGCCACCATCCCACTCATCTCAATAATGCATTCACCTTCATACATCTTCCATTATAATATTATATATACATAATATTTTAATATTAAAATACTATACAACAACAAAAAAAATCTTTTAGATACTGTGTTTATTAATTTTATTATTATTGTAATTTTAGAGGAACCAATATTGATAATATGCCATTGGCTTTTACATTATTTTGTATTTTTAATTACTTTCTAATAATTTTTTATTTTTTATTTTAGACATATAATAAACAAATATAAGTATATATCTTGAACGTGTCCCCAGCGTGTCGTGTCTCCCATTTTTTGAAATTTTGCATGTCTACGTGTCCCGTATCCGTGTCCATGCATCATAGGGTGCTTTTATTTACACCGTTATTTTTCCTCATTACACTCTCTAAGAGTCCAAACATCTCTCTCTCTCTCTTATCTAGGAGAAGAATAGCCGATATTTCTCAATGTAGGGTTTTGAAGGTGGCAATGGTGGCTCGGGTTTCAAAGGTGGTGGCAACTAGGGTTTCAAGTTGCAACGGTTGAAGAGAGCGTATGGAAGGCGTTAAAGGTGTTGCACAAATGAAGGGAATGGGTTGTGGGGAAAGAAGAGGCAAACGTGGGTGGCAAGAGATGTAAGAGTGGGAGGAGGGGCTTGCAAGTAGGAGTGGTTGGGAAGGGAGAAGGTGGCGATGTCGGGGAAAGGGTGTGATCAGGAATGGAATGGTAGCGGGGGAGGATAGGAGAGTTTAGCAGGCAGCGGAAGAGAGAGATGAGAGGGGTAGTGGCAGGTGGTGGCAACTAGAAAGTTAGGTGGATGGGTGTGATAAGGAAATGAATTTTTAAAATTTTAGGGTTTCAATTCTTAATGGTAATTTCAATTAGGGACAGCCAGTAATAACAAATTTAGAAACTGGTGGGTATAAGAGCATCCTCATGAACCTCGGTAAACCCTTATCTTAGCTATTCTATAATACAAACCAATAAAAAATGCCGTCCATCAAAATCGCCTTTTCACTAGTTATTTCAATTTAACTCCAAGTCACTAGCTACAACTAGCTAGCAATTAAATTATTTTAAATAATAAAATATTCGGACATTTATTCATAAATCCCTCTTCACCTATTTATATTCTACTTAGTTTAAATTATTTTCTTATGTTTCAATAAGTCTTATGGGTGACATAATAACCAAAATACCCCTACTAATAATTCGGTGAAACGCGCATTAATGTTCACATTGACAATGTGAATATTCCGTGATGTGAACATTCACACGTCAATGTGAATATTCACACTATCAAATATGAATGTTCACATTACCAAATTACTAAGAGTTCAAAAAATATTTGTAAGGGTAAAATTGTCCATAAAATATCTTAAATATGATAATTAAGATTTGGTGGATCAAATGTCCAAATAATAGAACTTATTGGAATACAAAAATATGTTATGAACTAATTGGGATACAAGTACTTGAAAGAGGATTTCTTAATAAATTTCCCTAAACTATTCAATGATGTTACGATCATATTTATTTACTATTTTATGTGTCTCAACTTCTGAAATTCATTAAACTAATATAATTATAATGCATGGGATGATAAACATAATATGGTAAAAAAATATGGTCATCATATCATTATTGAGATCATTATTGTTTACCATCAATAATGCTAGGATGACCACATTTTCTTACTATATTTTGCTTACAATCTCATATGTTAATATTGTTTTGGTATAATTAGGGGTGCACATGAGAAGGTTTGGTTCGAGTTGGCACTAAATTTAGAATCAATCCAATTATGATTGGTTCCAAGCTATGAAGCACCGACATGTCCCCAGGGCTTGCGTACGAGTGTCGGACACGTGTCGGACACGCGGTGGACACGTATCCGACACTCTCTCTAACATGTCCTCTTTTTTTTTGAATTTTTACAGTCGGAGGCGCCATGGACACGCTGTGACACTTTCCGGACATGCCTGAGGTGGATCGAAGCCCTAACTGAAAGAGAGAAAGAGATAAAGGGAGAAGAGGAGACAGAGAAAGAGATCGAGGAGAGAAGACAGAGATCAAGGGAGGAGATGAGATGAGACGAGACGAGACAGAGAGAGACAGAGAAAGAGACAGAGAAAGACACAGAGAAAGAGATAGAGGGAGGAGAAGAAATGAGCCTAACCTGTTCAGATCAATGAAGAAGCTGAGGTATTTGTCTAGTCTCTTCCTCTTCGCCTCGTCCTCTTCATTTTCTGTCTCCATCTTCTTCTCCTTCTTCTTCTCCTCCCTCTTCTTCGACTTCTCCTGTTCTCTCTCTCTCTGATTTCACGTCCCCCTTTTGCTGATTCACTTTCCCTTCTTTTTTTTATTTCACCCGTTTCTCTCTCTCTCTCTCTCCCTCTCTCTCTCTATCCTCTTTTATTTCCTTCACTCTTTTTTTTTCTTTTTTCTTTTTTTTATCTTTATTTTTGTTAAACCTAAAATTCATAAAATAAATTATTTTTATTTAAAAACACTCATTTTTTATTAAATTTTTTTTAAAAATATGTTTATTAATTTTATTATTATTGTAATTGTATAAAAATTAATGTTTTTTTTATTTTAGACATATAATAAATAAAAAAAAATTATACATATTAAATGTGTCCCCAACGTGTCATGTCCCTCATTTTTTTAAAATTTGCGTATTCCCGTGTCCATGTCGTGTCCCGTGTCCGTGTCCGTGCTTCATGGGTTCCAAGTTTTTGGACCCAAGACCAAACCAATCATGCACTAAAACTAACCCAACCCAACCCAACGCAATGTAGCTTGGGTTGGAACCACGGTTTCACTATACTAAAAATAAGTAAATCAATTAATAATAAATAATTACAATAAACAAGTCTTTAACAATTAAACATAAGACAAATAAAAAAAAAACAAAATTTTGTTTAATACCGACATCTATGAATAGCAGCACAGTGAACTCCAACTCAAGCTTCAGCACAACCAATACTAACTAAAATCTAATAACATTTCTTTTATATGAAAGTTTATTAAGTGCAATCAAGCCCATTTTAAGAGATCATTTAGGTGAAGACATGTCAATTTAAACAGAATTTTACATTAGACGTATACAGGTTCAGTTCAAGGGTTGGTTTAATTTAGGCAAAGCCTAAACCAATGATGATTTGAAAAGGGATTGGCTTCTCTCAAGTTGTCATCTCAACTTAGGAGAGTGTTTGGGTTTGGTAGGCCCATTTTGAGATCAATTTCGGTGATCCGAGACGTTCATTTTTTAGAACTCATTAAATATAATCTACATGCAAAAAATAAAGATGATTGGACATCGATAACTATATATTTAAATCATATTTGTTTTTAAAAAATGGACGACAAGTATAATTTCAAGAATAGCCATCCATTTATTGTAATACAAACAAATTTGATGTAAACATATAGTTACTGATGTCCAATCATCTTAATTGTTTTTTATAAACATTCTATTCAACCAGTCATAAAAAGTGAATGATTCAGATCAACCAAATTCATCCAAAATGGGTCCAATCATCTTAATTGTTTTTTATAAACATTCTATTCAACCAGTCATAAAAAGTGAATGATTCAGATCAACCAAATTCATCCAAAATGGGCCTACGAAACCCAAATACTCTCTCAAGTTGAGATTGCCAATATGAGAGAAGGCAAACCCATTTGAAAACCCATAACCGAACCAAAGTACTCAAAAATACAGCGTAAGAGAGTTTTGCTACATCCTCTATTTCATCAATCCAATTAGACCTCTAATAAGGTGACAAATAATTTTAAAATGAGAGAGAAGAGTTTGAACAAAATTGATTGATTAGTATCGTTTGCCATAATGAGATGCGTGATAAAATGGGGAATGGGACATTTCTGTTTCGGAAAAAATAAACGACAGTTGATTTACCAAAAGTCTGACTGGAGAGGCGAATAAATCAGCTAAAAAACAGGGGTAATAGAATTCAGTTACCGGAAACGATATCCCTGAAAAACTCGACGGAGTCCGTCAGCTCCTCTGCACTCTTGCCCTTCCATTTAACGGCGAGCGAGGGAATGGCGCTATCTTCGAGGTACACTCCGATGGCCGTGAACTTTATAAACTTCCCTTGGATTTCCAAACCCCTCTCTCCTGCGCTCATTAGCCAAAACCAACAATCAAATCTTTATACACACACACACAAACACAGAATGAGAATATCAGTGATCGAAGGGTGTACAGTTTAACCTGCGCCGCCGAGGAAGAAGGACTTGACCGTGCCCGGAGGTTTGACAGTGGGAGGGAACACGTGGCTCTCGATCTGGACTTGGGTGACGGACGGAGACATTTTGTTATTGTTCTCTTTAGTAAAGCCCTTCCTTGGTTTGGTAAGAATCAAGCAAACCACGGACAGACAACGTGACCAAGGCCCTGTTTGTGTGTATGGTTTTATTGACTGAAATCTACAAATCTATTAAAATAAGAAAAATGAAATAAATTCTAAATTTTCTACTAAATAAATGATCAAATATCTGAGGTCATAAAATAGCGGACCCTACACCCATGTAAGACATTTGATCATTTATTTGATAAAAAAATTAGTATTCCTAACATTACTTTTAAAATAATTAGAATCGATGTTAAAATATATATAGGGAGCTTTTTTGGATAAAACCTCTTTTTAATGGTTTTATTTTATCTAACTCATATTATTTTTGACTATTTTATTAGATTCTATTTAAGGTAAAAAGATCAAAATATCCTCAAGCGCTTTAGTCTTAATGTTGATTGTCATTATGTTTTGGTAGTTCACATGCATCAGAATGTTGACTGTCATTATATTCATATTGATTTGAAATGAATTTTTGTCATTGTGTTGTCAATTACATGATGTGAATATTCACATCATGTAATTGAAATAAATATTTACATCATTATATTCACATTAATTTGAAATGAATTTTTATCATTGTGTTATCAATTACATGATGTGAATAGTCATAATAAAACATACAAATGTAAACGTTCACATCATTACTTCTTTTGAATAAGAATGAGTTGTCAATTAAAAATGCAATTAATGTTATTTTTAATGTGTTGTCAATTAAAAATAAAAAGGTTCACATGTTGTGAACGTTCACATTAGGGATGGCAATTTAAACCCGGCCCGATGGGGACCCGATCCCCTGACCCCAATTGGAACGGTTTTTCCTCGAAATTTATCCCTATAGGGCCGGAGATGGTATTAAAAATATGGTCCCCGATGATTTTCGGGCTGGGGACGAGGATAGATTTCCTAACCCCGGCCCCGCCCCGATTGATCCCCGACTGACCCCCCGTATAATTATTATAATATATATATATATATATATTATATGTTTATATGCTGGACTCAGGCTCAGTTTAGTTTGTCTGTCTCTCATCTCTCTCTGTGTCTCAAAGCCTCCCCTCCCTCCGATCTCCCTCATTTCCTCTGATCTTCATCACTGCCTCACGTTGATCTCCCTCCCTCTCTCTGATCTCCCTCCTTCTGACCTCACTACCTCACCCCGATCTCCGTCACTGCCTCCCTCCGATCTGCGTCTGGGATGCCGAGAGTCGTCCTCAACGCTGATCCTCATCCTCGACGTCAATCGTCCTCTCTACGACGTCGATCCTCCTTCGTCGTTCAAATAGATTTTTGTATGTGTATGTTACATGTGTTTAGCCAGTATGTATATATACAGATTTTTTATTTTTATCACACAGGTATAAATATATACACAGTATGGTGTTGTATATAGATTTGTACATGTATGGTGTTGAAACAGATTTTTTTATGTATGGTATTGAAAAAGATTTTTCTATGTATATATATTACACAGTATGTGTTGAAACAGATTTTTTTTTTTTTTGAACAATTATGCTGCTGTTGATATTGTTGATGGTATTGTTGACCATAACAGATTTGGGCCGGGGAATTTTCGGGATCGGGGAACCCCGATCCCCGTTAGGAAACGGGGATGAGAACGGTGATAGGATCCCCGTTGGGGATTGGGGCCGAGGCCGGGGAGACTTTCTCAATCGGGGATCGGGGACGGAGAGGGTAATCCCCGACCCCACCCCGCCCTGTTGCCATTCCTAGTCCACATCACTACATTAGATAAGAGAGAATTTTTCGAAAAAATATTGTGAATGTTCAAATCAAATAAGAGAAAATGTTCGCATTATTTTTAATATATTATCAATTAAAAATATATTCACATTAGATGAGAGAGAATATTCACATTATTTTTAATATGTTCTCAATTAAAAATATATTCATATTATATAATAATATAAAATAATAACATCAAATTTTGTGTATGAAATTTCTTATGTCATGGTCCTTTCACTTCTTTCTCCTCCCCAACTACCAACATTGTATAAATCAAGAAAAAGATTTCATAGAATAAAAGTATAAATACATGAAATTAAGTGAATTAAAAAATTCCTTTTGAGTTAGAATATTTTTAAATAGGATTTATCAATAAAAATCTTTATATATATATATATATATTAAAATAATGGGAAAATTACATATACCTTCCTCGAGATTTAGCTAAATTACAGATACTCTCTGAGATTTTGAAAATTACATCCCGCCCCCTGAGGTTTGTATTTTCATAACAATTTGTCCCCTGAGGTTTATATTTCATAACAAATTAGCCCCAAATTTGTTATGTAAATATAGCATTTAGGGAAGAATTTATAATTTCTCAAATTTTAAGAGTATCTATAATTTAGCTAAACCTCAAGAGGTAAATGTAATTTGCCCTAAAATAATCGAAATCTACAAATAAAATACTCCAAGGTCCGCCCGGTAGATAGGGCCACGTGTGGGTAGGTGGGCGTTGCATGACTCACGCCAATCAGTCCACTCTACTTACTGACCACCGAAGGGTAGTTGCACAGTGAGTTGGAAATGCTCCCGTGGGTTTTGGTGGAGACTTTTTATTGAGCCTTTTTTTTTATAATATGAATTGTTATATTGTAAAATTTGTTGAATATATTATTTATGTAAAAAATTTAATTAATTAAAATTTTGTAATTTTATGATTAAATGTTAATTATTTTTAAAAAAATATAAAGATGAAGTTAATAATTTATTTTTAAAAAAAATAAATATGCTCTTGTTATAGAGTTATAAATGTTCAATTAATTTGATTTTTCACATAAATAATTTAATCAACAAATTTTACAATATAAACGGTTGAGACTATAAAAAAATATTCGAGAAAGATCTCCACAGAAGCATTACAAGAAGCTGTTGTGAATTGCTCACAACAACCTCCTCAATTCCGCTGCGCAGCATCTCCTATGTTAGACAAGTAGGGGTTACAATGGGGGTGGTCTAAACTTATCCATCTGGCAATTATCGTATTCAAATCCTATATATTGTTAACTTCTATAACATATTTCAGCACGTTTAAAATCAATTTAAAATTAAATTGAACCGAGCTACACATTTTTCATTCAGCAGTGCTGCATACCCCCAGTGGGGGTCGCACCCCCAGTGAGGTGTCGCGCCCCACTGGTTGAAACTTAAAAAAGGAAAACAGTTTTTTTTTGGGCCAATAATGAAGTGCCACCTCACTGGGGGTTGACCCCCAGTGGATGTATGAGGCATTTTTCTTTTTCATTCGACTTATATTGTTAACTTCTATAAGTTTTTCATTCACATATTTTTAATATTTTAATTTGTTTTTTCTATACTTTTTAACATAATTCAAGTATTTTTCATTTTGTTTTTACCTTTATACATTTCATAAAATTAAAAAAACGATCAAATAACATAATGTAATTTTATTTACAATACCTACAACTGGGGGAAAAAAACGAAATGACTAGCATCACATAAGGCTGGAAAACTCAACTAGGTTGATCTTTCCTACCTCCAATTCAATCATGTGCTAGCTCCCTTAAAAACTCCACTAGTTTAAACTAATACATCAAAATAAAATTACAAAAATCAACCCAAAAGTGCACATTAAATATCATGCACACACATATATATAATTATTAATATATTTTAATTGATTAAATTTGAATACAACAGTGTAAATTTTTTATTTTTATTTTTTATTTTTTTGGAATACATATCAACAATAAAATAAAATAAATAAAAATTGGACGGGATAGTTTGAGTTAGGTTAATGGAATGGTCGGGCTAGACTTATCCGTGTGGGTTCTTATGGATCAGATTCATAGGTGGGCTCGTATTACAAACATTTGTCCAAAATCTTAAATTATCTTTTATGGAGTGGGATGTGCTGGGCACTCAAGCGGGTTGGGATGAGCCATGGACTAAGTGGGCCGAGTTGGGTAATATTGGGTTGTTTTTCCGCGGGTCATTTGATGACCCCTAGAGGCAAGCTTCTCTCCTGTTTGCAACAATCGAATTGAAGGATTAATATATATAGCTCAACGAGTATATTATTTTTATAAAAATTCATATTCATCAAATATTGATAGTCACTTAATTAAATTATGTAACTATCGAGAATCACTTGATTAAATCATATTTGTATTAATTGTCTATTTTGAAGAGAATAATTTCTCCTCAGTTTGCAATTGAATTAGATAGTGTTTTCGGGCCTCAATGGGCCCCACTCCAAGCCCATCTTGATGATTCAAATTATTTAATTTGTAGAGCTCGTCGAGTATATAATACTTGAAAAAATTCACGTTGATCGGACTTTGATAGTCACTTGATCATATTACATTTGTTTCATCGAAAATTATGATTTTAAAAATAAATCGCAGATACAAATGTAATCTAATAAAGTGATTATTGATATTCGATTAACATGATTCTTTGCAACAACGATGAGTTCTACACATTAAATAGTTTGGATAATCAAGATGGTCCCGAGTTGGGCCCACAAAAGCTCAACAACACCATCTAATCCGTTTCCAGACGGGAAAAAAGCTATTCTCGTTTTTAAAATCATACTTCTAGTTAATATAAATACGATTTAATCAAGTAATTATTAATCCTATCAAAATGATTTTTTTTTCTTTATTATTCTTCCATCAACATTAGGCGATGATGTTAAAAGTCAATTTATCATTCAGTCCTTCAATAATTTTGAGCAATCAAAGATTATGAACACGTTACACGTGGACCCTTCTTAATTTGGCTCGAAAGATGACCAAAAAATTTAACTAATCAAAACTACTGTTCTAATAATTAAATTTAAAAAATTATTGTTCGGCCTATTTGTTTGGAAAACTTTATGATAATTGGGAAATGCTACAGGATGGGCTTCCCTAATCCATAATCCTAGCCAATGAAGTCTATAATAGATTTCGTTTCGATAATTTGAACCGTTTATTTTATAAGATCCTTTGTATATAGCAGTCCCACACAAAAATGAAAAAAATGCATATCAATGGTAATTTGAAAAAATAATTACTTAATC